TCGGGGCTGGCCGGGGTGCAGCACTGACTCCCGGCCTGACCTCACCCCCCGCTCAGGCGCAGGGAGCGGGCCTGACGCCGCTGGGGCGTCCCCGGGTGCCAGCCAGCCTTTGCCTCTCCCCTTGTGTGTTCAGGCAGGGCCATGGCGGAGGCCGACGGTCCCAGGTGGCTGCTGGAGGTGTGCGGGCAGAGGCTCTCACGGTTCCTCCACGATGCTGAGCACAAGCACTTGGCCTGGCTGCAGGAGGTGGAGGAGCAGGGCCTGAGGATGCTGGATAGGTAGGGGCTGCCCTCAAGGGGACCCCCTTGCCCCTAGGGAGCTGGCTGGTCTCAGAGGACTCCCAGCCCTTGTGAGTGTGAGGCCTGGTGTGCTCCCAGCTGCTGGTGGGCCTGGCCTGGTGCGATGCCTACAGCTGCCTGACTGGGATTTAACAAGGCTGTGCCCTCAGCAGCTGGGTTTGGGCCTTGGCGCCAGGTGGCTGGCACATTCTGTTCACCTTTCTCAATGGGTGACCCTTGTGTTGTGGATAGTGTTGGTTTAGGCAGTGGGGGGAAGCAATCTCTTATGCCTTTGTCTGCTCAACAGCAACTGTGGGGCTGAACCTCAGTTAATGCCCAAAACACCATCACAGCGGAGACGTCCCAAGAAAAGGCAGTCCTCCTGCCTGAAAGATGAAAACAAGGAGCCAAATAGGAGGAGGTAGGTGAGTCGGTTTGCTCTGGATCTGCCATGTGGCCTTTAAGAGTGAAACGAAATAGTAACTGTTTCCACATGCACAAGGACATAGAATAGCTGCCTTATTCCCTGAGCTAGCAAATACATTTAAAAGAGCGTGTCAGGATCAATCAACATTTTGAGTCTTTGAAAGTTTAGGACAGAGCTGGCTGATTTCTTTCACTTCCATTTTTGTTTTTTTGTTTTTTTTTTTTTCTGGTTAGAAACAATAATAAATACTGTTTTCTTGTTTGTTTGTGTTTGGGTTTTGTTTGATTTGATTTGTTTCAGCATGATTTTTGACCTGAGGCTGCTACTGGTCTTCACCCCCTAAACCTTTGTGCTGGTGCCTGAGAGAACCTGCGAATGGAACTTGCTACTGGTGACGTGCGGAGATGGCATGTCCATGGTCGTTGTTTGAACTGACAGGCAGAGAGGCTTAAAGGGGTTAGCAGCAAAACTGAAGTGGAAATTCTAAGTGATTTGCTTAGAACCAACTGTTTGTGAGGTTTTTAAAACTGGCCCTAAGTAGACAACAGATGCCAAGGCAGGATGGTGTAGGGCATAATTTAATTGCATGTGTAGTCAGGGATGGCTGTGATGTTAATTAACTTCCTCAGTGCCACCGCTTCATGGTAGCTGACTGTGTCTGCTCTCCTCTTGCTGTCGGCAGCGAGGTGGTAACCAGCCCTTCAGAGGTGTGTGTGCTGTGAGCCGAGGTTAGGCATGCTGACAGTCGCTGCAGTGTGACCCCAGCCTCAGCACCAGGCATGCAGTAGTAAACTGTTCATGTGTTAAGGCACTTAAATTTTGATAACCATGGTGAAAAACCCACAGGAGTTGGGCAGGAAGAGTTAGAACTAAAAGACTGTCAGAAACCAGACATGGAGGATGGAGAGAACAGCAAGAATAGTAAGGAAGCGTGGGAAGTTCATGCGTGTGTGTGGCGAGGGAGGGCAGGAGAAGAAAATGCTGCAGATCTAAACAGGGAGAGCTCTTGCAACACGCTGTTGGTCTTCAGGTAGCAGCTGGATTGCTCCCCTGAAGACGACAAGTCCCGCATTAAATTTTTCCTCATTTAAACTTACTTTTAAGAGATGTGCTGATGTGACAAAATGCTTGGGTGGGTGGGCAGACAGACATTTGTCAAGAGGGACTTCATGCTGCAGCTCAGCCTGTGGTGCTCCACCCTGCTACCTCTGGGTCCCTTTGGCACCAGAAGCAGCGTTCCTCTGGGCAACTGGAGTTGTCCTTTGGCTTTGTCCCACTGATGGCCCTGACTTGCCTATCAAGTGTGTGGCTCCATCCTCTTGTGGCAAGTTACCTAATGTAGCAAAGAGGATTTCACTGCCAGAGTTCCCCAGGCCTTTATGGAGTTGGTCAGGTTTAACTTGAAGCAACAGAGCTCGAGACAATTACTGTACCTGATCGTTTTTCTCTTAAATAACAGTAATTCAAGGAATTCGTGAGTCCTGACGGGTATTTTTTTATTGCCTCCCTCAGGATTGCGCTGTCAGGTACCATGTGTGTGGCAGCACTGCTGTGTTTCCCAGCCTGTGCACAAACTCTGCCTTTAGAGCTGTGGATGTTCTCTCGGTGTTTGGGTCCCTGCCTCCCCAGGGCTTGGGATGTGAGCAGCCTGCCAGAGAGCAGCAGGGCCTCCTGTTTCTGGCTGGGATCCTATAGATCTCTACAGGGGAGACTTCCATGTGAAGCTGATTGGGGGAGACTGCGGTAACCCCTCCCTGTGTGGATGTCTGCACTTCGCTTGAGGCAGAGCGGAGTCAGTTGTCCCAGTATGACTTTGCTGTCCCCTGGTGTCAGCTCCGCCTGGGGCTGTGGGTTGCTGTCTGCAAAGAGCAACGAGCATCCTGGTACCTCAGCTGCTGCAGTTTGCATCTGTATGATACAACCTTTATTTGTGAGTCAGCCCAGCACACTGGGCTGATAGCTGGGATGGCTGCAGTGTGGGTATGTGCCCCGCATTCCTGGCTGTGGTAGAAAGTAGTAACGTCCAGCAAAAAAAACCCCATCTTGCAGGCAGTGGAGAGCAGTAAGCAGCAATTTCTAAATTGCTCCAGCTAAATCTGCAGAGCGTGTCTGTGAGCTCTCAAGGTTTAGCTCCTGCCTTTCAGTGGTGATAAGAGATGGGTTGCGAGGGGCAATGGTGGGAGGAAGAAGCCTGCAGGTTTGCTTCAAAACTTGTTGTCTGCTTTTGTTCTCTGAAAATAATTTGGGAGCGGGGGACTTCTTCATTACTTCATTTAAAATTGTTTTTATTTAAGGTTGTCCAGAAGAAGAAGCAGCATCAAGTTGGTGTCTTCCAAACAAAGTTCCCAAAGGCGCCACAGCAAAGAGGAACCCCAGAACCCCAGCCGCCAGGGGAAGGAGGTGCCCGAGCCCAACTGTGCGGTGAGGTCTCAGGCTGCTGTTAAAGCCGAGCTCCCAGCACTGGCGGGGAAGTGGCCAGCAGAAGCAGGAGGTCCCGTGGCAAAGAGGGATTGTCAGGACTGCCCTCAAGGTGCTGACAGCAGCGATGCAGCCTGTCAGGCTGTTGTGGGGGAGCAGTTACCCAAGGGGAACACAGCCACTGAGCTGCACGATGTGTCGTCAGTCTCCAAGATCCATGCTGGCCAGGCAGCAGGGGAGGGGGAGGAGGCCCCCAAAAGGAGAGTGAGTACCTCCACTCCCAAGGCTGCTAGAAATAGAGATCCTGCCATGCTCCAAGGAGATCTATCTCCTCAAGGCCTTGAAAAGGTGCTTTTCCAGGACTCCAACAGCAAAACAACTACAGCGAGATCCAAAATGCGCCGTTGCTCTGGGTGCCGAAGCATTGTGGGTGGCCCCCACAAGAGCCATAGGGCCTCCTTGGCAGAAAAATATTCACTGGCCAGCAAAAGAGAGACCATGATCCGGAGGTCTATCAGCAGGGCCATTTCGAAGAATGCAGCAGCTCGAGAATCATCCTCTGCCTCCAGCAGAGTGAGCTGTAAGTTTCTTTCAGTTGTCGAGTGCATTCATTGGGCTGAATCGGCTTCTGGGCTTTGCAGGGGGAGGGACACAAGCAGCTGTGGAGCTGCTCATCTGTATTAACTCTGGCTCCTCTTAGCCTGCTTGTCGATAGGCCTTGTGGCTTCTACCCGTTTGGGGTGCAATCTTCAGGTCCTTGTCTGCTGTCAGACTGTCTCAGGCTGTGTTTTGCTGCAGCAGGCAAAGGAAGCGCCTGCTGGGGTGTAGGGATTGGAGGCTGGGTTACATGGGTTGTGGATGGGGGGAAAAAACAAGAGTGAAAGGGAAAATGCGGTCTGGCTGGTTCTGGCCATGTGTGTGGTTTGGCTGATCAGAAGAGACTGTTGGCATTCCCTGGGGAGAGGCTTTTATCTCAGCATCTTCTGCCAGCTCTCCAAAAAAATCTATAGGAACTGAATGTCTCCACCCCCCTGAAATTTGGCTGAAATCAGCAGAGGAACAACTTAAATGCTTTTTGGGTGAAGATAGAGTGGATGGACCGAGAACCAAATAGCACAGCCATGGGAGGAAACAAGATTCAGAAATCCAGGATATTCCTGACAGCACTAAACCCCTCATATCCTCTGCTCCCACTGCTCCTGGGAAGGTTGTGCTGTTTGGACTTTCTAAAATCATTGCTTCTGAAGTCAGATTGGCTTCTAATAAAGCACTGAGGCCTTTGGTATTTAGTTTTGTCAGCTTTGAGTCACGCCGTATCTAGGCATTTGTGATAACACTTTCAGCAAAGTGGTGTTATGGGGGGAATGAAATCAGCCTAAATCCACCGAATCCCTGCATAAAACCATGTGGGGAGGCAGTAGCTGAAGTCAATTGACTGGGAAATGCTATCTCTGACACAGGCAAGAGCATGTTTGTGCAGCTGGAGCAGTCTGCAGGCAGAGGAGCTGCTGCTTCAGTTCTCTGCCTTCCCAGCCTACACCAGTTTGTCAGTGACACTCGAGGGAGGTGGTGGTGCTGCTGGTGTGGAAAGCTGAGATGAGCAATCGGCATGTTCCTGGGGAGGAAAGCCTGCACAGAGACCTGAGCTTTACCATGCACGTATTGCTGCTGCTGGGAAGCATCAGAATGAAATCCCCAAGCTAGCCTCTGCTCTTCTCCCCCAGGTCAAAGCTCCTTGGAGGTTTTTGTGGAAGATGATGTGACCAGCAGCGTGAGGTGAGGTTACCACGTAAAGCAGGCAGGAAGAAGCCACAGAAAACCCTGCAAGGAAGCTATATGGGTTGTTACATTACAGATATAGGACGGGTTTTGTAACAGACAGTTTAGGTGATGTTGTCACCTGGGGCTGGCTGATATTTCAAAGTTTGTGCTGTTCAGGCACAGCCCTTCCTTCTCAGAAGTCTGTTCAGAGTACAGTGAGGTTAACCACTGCATTAGTATGGGGTCCAGCCTATGCCATAAGGCCCGGGAGGTCGCCAGCCGCTGCTCTGCCTGGTGTTAGCTGGCATCATGTGAATTATGTCCTGGGATTCCTGGCTGTAGCCAGCTTCTGAATGCCTGCTGGGGCTGGAGGTCACTCAGCTGTGGTCTGGCCTGACAGGTGGGCAGGCAAGACTCTGCCGAAGGCTCCCGGAGCTTCCTTTTTACCCGCAATGTGGAAGTTCTGCATAAGGGGACAAAGCTCATCAGTGTGGTGTTCAGTAATGCAATGGAATGGTCCATCGGAAGAATTTACAGCTCCACCTCTGCGTGGGCTGGCTGATACAGGCTTGTGCCTCTGGGTGTATTTAGATTTATCTGCACTTTCCTTGGGCTCCCATATGCTGGCTCCATCATGCTTTTATCACCTGTAACTCGCCCTTCAGAGAACTGAAATAATTAAAACAGCTCTTCTTTTACAGACCTGGCCTGGAACTGAATCCTCCAAGTGCAAAGGTAAGTTCTAAGGAGCAACCTATAAACTGTTTGTCCAGACATCTTTTTGCCTGAGTTGATACCTGTTGCTGAGCATTGCCACTGGATGCAGGGATTGTGGCCAAGGGATCTTTCTGTCACGTCCCTTTGAGCTCAGCAAAGGTGCTGCTGGGCTGGACAGCACTGCCTGTCTAATGCTTGGGCAGCTTGTTGAGCCAGTTGGCACTCTGGCTGCTGGTGGGCAGAGACATTCTGTGCCTTGATAAGGCCTCTTCGCGGTGGAGTTTTTGGAGGTACTTGGCCAGCTTCCCAGGAGCCACAAGCTTTTGCCTGTCAGCTGGGCATGGTAATTAAGCCTGTGTGTTCTTAGCCTGTCGCTGTTGCATGGCTGGTTGAGCTACAAAAGTCAGGAGGGTAGTTCAAGTTAATGTGCTTTCCTTGGCCTCTGAGGCTACGTGTGCTACAAGCTAGTGTAAGCCTGCAGTGCTAGCAGGACAAAGAAATCCATCCCCTCCTTTGAGCTGCAAAAAACTTCTGGTGTGGTTGTGCTGCGGGCCAGTTGAGGTGAAAACTAGCCCAGCAGAGAAAGGGGTGTGCTCTGCTTCGGAGCAGCAGCCTGGTACTGTTGGGAAGCATCAGGGGGGTGTGCTCCAGATCACAGTGGTGGTAGCTGAGCAGGTAGGGGAGCACACAGCCTGTGTGCAGGCAGCCTCATAACACACTTGGATGCTGTGCTGCAGCAACTCTTTTTGCTTGTCCTCTTGTGAATATGCCATAATGTACTTAAAGTGCCCAGGTTTGAAAACTGGTGTCTCCGAGGTGTGTAGAAGCTGCCTGTCATTCTCAAGGCACTTTGACTTTGCAGGTCCACGGTAACGTTGTTCTTTGGAGCAACCGTGCTAAGAGAATGCTTGTCTCCTTCTCCTGCAGGCTCCTGAAGACATCCTCACTTCAAGCAAAGGTATAGAAGCTGCCAGCTGTCCTGCACAGCACTTCTCTCCTCCTGAGCAGCAGACAGGGAACAACGAAGGTAACTTTGAGTTGGTCTTGCTTTTCTTGTGTGAAGCCCCAAAGACCAGGGTGTCAACCTGAGGGTTTGTGGAAAATCTGGGACTTGTGCTGAAACAAAACCACCTCTGACCAGTCAGGGTAATTTTTCAGGTAAACTTTTGACCTCCTGAAGAGATGAGACATGCAATTCTATAAGCAATTTATGTCTTGTAAATGTGTCCAAGCCTTGAGGCAAAGGCTGTCCTGTCCAACTTCACTCTGCATAATGGGTAAGCATGGACATTTTGGAATGAGATTGCTCCTAGACTTCAAATCTTCCACGTGGGGTAATGCTCTGTTAAAGTGCCTTGACATCCCTATCCTCTGGGTTTGCATCCTGGGAGAATTTACAGGTCCTGTTTATTTACTGTGCCTCAAAGCAAGGAGAGGGAGAGGTCTGGACTTTGTTTATCCCCTGTGGGAACTGTAGGATCTGATAAGCGGCTGTAGCTGGAGTACAGGGAAGAGTAGCTGGAGGCCTTTTGGTGAGACAGGCTGTGCCTGTTCAGAGAGGTCTGTACGGGATGCTTTGCACTGCGCGTACACAACACTGATATTCCAGGTAGCCATCCCGGCTTCTGGTTTCTCAGTTCGGTTACAAGCTACAGGGCTCTGAGCGCATGAGAGCTGGAGACAAGAACCGGAGCCCTGCAGGATGCCTTGTGCGTGGTGCTAAGTACAGGTTTCTTCACAGGAAGCTGCGTTAATCCAAACAGCGAATGCCAGAACGAGAACCAGGAACAACCCCACTGTGCCAAGTCCCAGGAGAATCCCTCACGCATCTGGTAGGAGACATTTGCAAGGAGGAGGAGTGAGCTGGGGGTCTGGAAGGGCTTGGGCCTGTCCTTTTGAGTAATTTGTTTTAAAAAGCTTTGGGTGTGTGTTTCCCCACCTTCCCCCCCACTGTCCCCTCCCCTCCTTCCACTGTAGTTTTGAAATCATCTTTGGCCAAATCTTGTCTCCCGAGAGAGTTCCTTGTGACTTCTTGAGTCTTGTTTGGGTCTGGGACCCAGGTCTGGCTCGGGAAGCAGGCACGTGAGTTCATGCACAAACCAGCAAAGGTGACTAAGGTGGCATGGTCAACTCGCAGCTTAGATGTGACTCTGCGTGGTTCACAAAGGGGTTGTCTGGAAGGCATTTCAGAAGGCAATGCAAGTAGGTGACTGACCTCTTATTTTTGTCTTGTGCAAGTGTCTGGAATGCCTGACTTGTTTCCTCAATGCTTTTATTATTGGCATTTCACGTGAGATTTTGCCTGCTTTTAGCTTTGCCCTCAGTCTCCTGTCCTGGTTTTGCTGGGGTGAGTTTGCTGTGGCTCGTGGATGGGAAGGGGAATAACAGTAACCTCTGTTCTCACCTGGATGCTTAGCACCATGTGATGGCTCAGGATCTGCAGCCTTCCTCCAGACTGCTGCTGGGCTGGGCCCTGACTGTGCAGTGAGGCAGTCCCCCCTGTTTCTCCCTGGAATTAGGGGGTGTGAGTGAAGCCATTTCTGACACGGGTAAATATTTGAGTGTCCAAAGTATTTATAAAGCACATGAAACCCTGCCATTGAGGTGAGCTGGACTGGGTAGTTGCAAACACACAGGGGTTGTCCATCTTGTGCTCTTAATGCCAGGTATAACAGACTTTTTGCTCGCTGGGACTTGGAGTGGAGAATGAGAGTGAGCATGGTTGTGGGAACAAGTATGGAATCTGCAGGTGTGGTGGCTGAGCCAGACACCAGAGATATCCTTGGCCTTGTCTGTTGTGAGCCATGGGATAACTGAACAAGAGCTAAGTGAAAAACAAGGTCAATGCTGTGACCAATGGACCTTGTAAGATGAACTTTGTTTCCATATAAGGCTTGGACTCTGCTTGCCAGATAGCAAGGTGATAAGAGAAAAGTAGAGGCTTTGTTTTGGGATGGGTATGAAAGGATGTAAAGCGTTAAATTGATCCCAATGCTGCTTGTGCTGGTGCATGAACTCGGGGTCTATGCCTTCATTGCCACACATGGTGGTGTACGTTACCTCTCTGGAACTCAAGTGTTGCCCTAGCAAGCTGTCACATGCCTTTCCTGTCCTCCTTCGTGACTGGATTGTCACCTGCCATGGGGCTGACTGAGTCCATAGGAGTCCCGTGTCCTCTGGCAGCAGTGAGCAGGCAGAGGGAAGCATGTAACAGCAAGTAAAGGCTTCTGGCAAGATTGGGGAGCATGATGGTTACCTAATGCACCTCTTCTTCGTGCCACCAGGACAAGAAGCTATAAACAAGCAATGGGTGTTCTATGGAATGGGCAGCAGCCAGGGGGTCGTGCCCTTTCCCCTTCACACGACAAGAACAAGAATTCATCAGACCAGACTCTACTTTCTTCCTCTCCAACTAGCAAGGTACGTGGGTGACTTGGCCCTTCTTTGCCTCCCTTTCCCTGGCAGGTACTGACTTCCCTTCATCTCCTCCTCTTAGGTTGTTAGACCATTTAAAAACTTCCTGCAGGCTGTGCAGCGAAACCAGCTGCTTGTGAGCCCGGGGCCCACAGGACATGGAGGTGTCCTAAAGAGCTTCATCAGACGCCATACTCCAACACGACCTGATCTGAAGGTGCGTCAGAGTCCCACCTTCCCTCGCAGGGCTGGAGGAGGGGATTGAGTTTGGGGGAGTGGCCGGAGGGACTCTTTGCTTAGAAAAGCATAAACAGGCTCCTCGTTCTGTCTGCTACCATGGATCAGTGCAGGTCCTCGTAGCAACCTGGCCCTGCAGTTCTGCTCCAGCTTCCCCAGAGAAGGGAAATGGGTTGGTGTTGCCTTGTGTAGTCTGTCCACACGCACTGTTCTGGCTGGGGGTCCTTAGCACCAATCCTCAAACCTTCCTCGTATGCAGAGAAATCTCACTTGCTCTGTCTATAGTCAGCAGAAACATTTTATATTCTGCAACAGTTGAACCATCGGGAAGTAGGAAGTTTTTGTCTTTGCAGTGGGGATCTGCCCTTGTGTCTTGCGTAATTGACTGCTGCAGGGCTGAAAGACACGGGCAGTGTGGGGTCAGGCAAAGGGTTCCCTACTACGTACTGGCAAGGAATTGTAGCCAAGAACAGGGTTGGTGTGCTATGAAGGGGATTCTGGTGTTGCTTCCAAACCGTTAATGATTTTTTTTTTTATGTCTCTTCTCTACAGGGAGACTTTGTTGTAAGTAATGACACCTTTTACCCTGGGGGCTAGAAAATTATAACGCTGTGCTTCGTGCCACAGGGGCACTGACAGCTCTTTCCCCTCACACTGGCATCCATGCAGTGCTCTGTCCAAACAAGTAAACTGGCTGCACCAGTGGTGAGGTGGCAGGATCCCTTCGCAGGTGTGTTCTGCTGGGGCTGGGAACTGCTAGGAAGCCTTTTGGACTCTAAGCAAGGCTACTTGCGCTGAGCCCCTTCTCCCCCTTCTCCCAGCTGCTGGTGTTGGTCACAGTCCCAGGCAAGGAGCATTGCTACAGGTGGTCACCTACAGCAGGAGTGTGCTGTTCCTTGCCCAGATGTATTCTCTACAGCTGAAGGACTGAGGTGTTTCCCACTGATACCTGTGACTCTTCTGGTCTTACTGAATAAGTGCTGTTGCCAAACCTGTGCTTCTTCCCTACTATTCACTTCCCATCCTGGTGTGTGGGTGAATGACTCTGACAGTGACTTTGTTTAGTGGGCTGCCTAGCCTCTAGCTGCCTGTGCATAAGCAACCTGAGGGCAGAAACAAGCCCCAGCAATTGGTATAATCTGAACTCCTCTCCCTTCAGGAGAAGGAGCGGCAGAGACTGGAAAGCCTCAGGAAGAAGCAGGAGGCTGAGGAACAGAGGAAGAAGAAAGTGGAGGAAGAAAAGAGACGGCGGCAGGCAGAAATGAAGCAGTGAGTTAGGTCCCTTGCCCCTTCTTCCTTCCCTGGTTCAGCACAGAATTGCCTCGGAGGCCTTTGCTGCCAGGCAGACAGCGCTGCTGTACTGTGCTTGGTGCCTCCCACTTGGAAGGAGTGCTTTGCAAGTGATGCTGCCTGGGCACCCTGAGCGCTGCTGCTCATGGCTCGCTGCAGTAAGAACTGAATTGGTGCAAAGCACCTGCTAAGGTCTAACCTTAATCCGGAAGTGAGCTGAGGCTAAGCTCAGCCAAAGCCAGTTGAGCAAAATAAGTGTTTTCCCCAATGACCTTGGCAAGTCCCTGTTCCCCCACCATCCTCTGTGCTAGAGCAGATAAGGGTAACAGGCCCCTCTTGCACACTGCCCAGGAAGAGGGAAGAACGTCTGAGGAAGGCACTGCAGGCTAGGGAGCGAGTGGAACAAATGGAAGAAGAGAAGAAAAAACGGATGGAGCAGAAGATTTTGCAGAATGATGAGAAGGTGAGAAGGCTGACCAAGCTTTGGACCACTTGGTACAATGATATTAACCCAGTGAGCTGTGAGACCAAGAGGGTGTGAACAGGCTGCTGGCGTGATACGTGCAAGCCCAGGATTACTGCTGACGGTGACTAATCTAGTGGTGGGTAAGTCTGCATCAGACACTGAAACTCTGTTGAACAAGAGGAGGCTTTTGTTCTCTGTACCTCTGCAGTGGTTCTAAACATTCCTGTTCTGACACGCAGTGTTTCTGGCGCTCTGCATTCAAGGAATGTGGCAGCATCCCTTGACTCTCCCGTGAACAGGCCCTGCAGATGAGACAGCCTTACTCGGCTTACAGTGCACTCATCCTCACATAAAACACTATAGACAGCGAAGCCATGATGCTTGCGGGGGGTGGCAAAAGCCTGGTGGGAAAGAAGAGCTACTGAGTGTGCGAGGGATGCTCATGACAGGTGGACTTGGCCGTATGTATTTGCATCGTGTTTGTGTGTTAAAGCCTTGTCTGGCCCTCTTTTGAGGACAGGCAGAGGATGAAGAGTATGCTAGGAGGGGCTGCTGATAGCTGCGTCCAGACTGTGTTGCTGCTTTTGTACAACTGTGCAGGTTCTGCAGGATTGAGGGATGCGGTGCCTGACTGACCTGGAGTCCTAGCAGCCTGTGGGAGAAGGGTGTTGCTCATTTTGGGGGGTGGGCTTAAAGTGACCTTGGGAAAGGGTCAGCCTTAGTAAACAAAGGAATCGTGCTCCTTTCAGCCTTTCCCCAACCCCGAGCAGCCAAAAGTACAGGCAGCCCTGGCTAGTCTGCTGCTGTGGGCGTGCTGGTGCTTTTACTGGGACAGGCAGCTCAGGTGGAGGAGCCACATCTCTGGGGCTTGGTCAACTTTCACGTCCCCCGTTCATACTGCAGTTCAGTTAGTCGACAGCAACACCGCAGGCAGAGTGGAAACCAGGTGCTAGATCCCCTTGTTATGCAGGGAATCACTTACAAGGTGGAAGCATGTATTTTGGGGTTGTGTAGTAGTCTCTGCTCCTTTCTCCTGTCGCTCCAAGTAACTGGCGTCTCTTCGCATGGCCTGTAGCCATGTGGTGGATTTGCTGTGTGAGGCTGCCACGAAATCCAATGCGTGTGTGCCACTTGCTGGGTGTTGGGTTCTCAGCCTCACTAGGACCTGGAATATCACAGGCTTCAGACTTCAGAAGCAGCCCCTGTCTGCCATGTGGACGAGGCTGTGAGTGTGTCCTTGGGGCTGTGTAGCAGAAGCGGCCCCCGTCCCCCATGTGGATGAGGCTGTGAGTGTGTCCTTGGGGCCATGTAGCAGACATGTGTGGCTCTTTCAGGTGCGCCTCTCACAAGTGCGGGAAGAGAAAATGGCAGAGGAGCGGAGCAAGAAAAAACTGTGGAAGAAGAATGGGGAAGCTGATGCATGGAAGCAGAAAGCGCTGAGGGTGGTAAGAGCAGCTCGAGGTCCCTCCTGTACATAGAAGAGGAAAGGAGTAGCAGGGAACCTGGGCTCTGTCCTGACTGGCATGACAAAGGTTACTGCCTTTCCTGCTGCAGGGATCCTAGGGTCCATGCTGCAAGATTTCTGTCTAGGCAGCTGATGTTGGGTTTGAACACAAGGGTACCTTGTGTGGGAGAGACCACCCAGCTGGTAGGCAGGCAGTAGAAGGTAAGAACGGGATGGAACAAGCACAGGTTGTCTCAAAGCATTCGCTTTGTATCCTCCTGTTTTTCCCCACTTGACCTGTAGGGTTATAAGGGTTTTCTTCTTTCTTCTTCAGGAAGATGGATTTGAGCAGCAAGAACCACTGCAGAAAAGGAGAGAGGATGAAGTGAAAGAAAAAGGAAAGAAAGTCTTGGAACCGAAAAATCTTGTAGATCAGCAACAGGTGGAACAAGTGAAGGAGAGGTATTAGCTTGTTTCTGTCCTGGAGGAGGGGACTTGGCAACAAGCATGGTGAAGCAGTAAATATGAATAGTGTTGCTGAAACTGGGAGGCTGGTGTGAGTGGTTGTCCCAAAGGTTCAGGGTACTGAAGCAAAAGGCTGTAAGAATACCTGGGGCAGGGGGAGGTGGACATGCTTTCCTCTAACTAAATTAGGTTTTTTTCTGCAGGGATCACAAACTGCAAGGGAAAGAGAAGGGCCCCCAGCCACCGCTGGAGTCAGCAGTGCTTACTGAAAGAAACGTAAAGGTGGGGAGTTGGAGTGGTCTTGGAACAACCGCTCTGTTGTTAACTAGTGAGGCATAGGATACGCAGACTTATTTTAAGATCAGGCTTGTCTTCCAATGCTGTGTTACTGTTTAAGGTTTTAATGTTTGCTGTTCTGTTAGAGGAACAAATACGATAAAACCGATGATGAGCCAAACGTGGTGTTGTAAGGAGCTGGAGTTTGTGCAAGGATAAACCAACTCTGTTGCTAAAGTTGGGGTTGATGGTTCTTGTTAGCAGGTGAGCCCTCTCAGCCCCATCACAAGGTGGATGACAGCCATACAATGGCACTTTGAAGAACACCTCCAAATGGCATTCACTGATACTTAAATCAATATGGAAATTAGTAAGAGGTTTATTTTTTTTCCTACTACCTTCACTCACTGTATTTGGAGGATGTGATCCCCATAACAAGCTTCAGGTATCGTATGGCTTCATGTAATGTCACTTGCATTTATGCAAAGGATGTTATGGCTTAGTCAAGGCTGTTTGGCTCAAAATATCACAGTAACATTTTCTTTCTGATCTTAACATGACTCCTTCTTCTGCCTTCTTCATTAGTAAAAAAATCGAACTCCCAAATGCTGTTCCTCTTAAGGATAAATCCCTCCTTCTGCATTTGCTCTTGCTACTTTTACTCACTCGGTCCATGACATTAAACTCCTGTTTGTGCTATATAATTTTAATAAAGGCCTCAATCCTTCATATGTTGCCAGCAACTGGGCTGGAGCGAGCCACAGCAAAGCTCCTCCAGACAGGAGAGAAGTTGAATGCAATGCAAAGTGCCTGCAGCTCTTGCCCTCCTGATAGCTCTTCCCTACTGGGTAGTATGGGAGAAGAAACTCCTGGCTAAAGTGGTTTGGGTTGAAAAGGCCTTTAAGCAGTGAAAATTACTTCTGTGTTAGGAGGAAGAGAACCCAAAAGTGCTGCACCAGCAGCCTGGGCAGGAGAAGAGAGCCAAGCAACCAGAATCTGTTGCTGTGGCTTCTAATACCTGGCTCAAAGCGGTAAAGGTGAGCGTGCGCTCTGGAGACCGTGTTCATCTGGATCGGAGGGAGGATGGCAGTTGTTCGTCTTGGAGTCTTGCATTTGGGGTTTTTCTGCAGAATAAGGCACAGGGGCACTTGAGGATTTTTTTTGCGAGGGACCCAGAAAATACGGCTCGGTTCCAGAGATACTCTGGTGGCTTTGCTTGGGTGAACGTGCTTGAAGAATGACTTAATTCTTGTCTCTTAACAGGAGGAAGATGGTCTGCAGGAGCCCCAGCAGCAGCTGGGAGAGGAGACAAAAATCAAGCAGCCAGAAGCCTTGACTGCTGCCTGTGGCACATGGCTGAGCAAAACTGTGAAGGTAAGTCTGGGTTCCATCAGAGCCCTCAGCTAAAATGACTCTGTGGTGTCGAACTGGCTCCTGTGGTTCGGAGCCAGCCTGCAGGCTGCTTATCCACCAGTGATGGAGCAGGAAATGAAGTCCCCAATGTGGGCTGGTAGGGTTTAACAGGGATCTGTGCAGAGGAGGGGGATGTCTGTCTGCTCTGGTGCTTGGCCGGGAGCTCAGCACAGGGGGAACCTGCAGGAAAAACAAGGGTTTCATCTTGGGAAAGATGCTGGAAACGGCCACAGGATGGCAGCACACGACGAGGCGTCTCCTCAGCCTCCAGCGGCCCTGTAGGGACCGGGCCTGCGGGCCGAGCCTGGCCACCAGGTCTTCAGCAGCCTGTTCGAGCCAGAGCGGCTTAGGTCTGATCGCTGCAGGGGTGGAGAAGCTGCTCAGAGTCAGACAGACCTGAGTACTGCCTCTGCCGGTAAACTCTTTTGTCTTGGGGCTGGCTGGCTGCTCTTCCCGCTCGACTTCTGTGCTGTGACTCATGTCGGAGCTCTGCAGAATGAAAACCCAATCGGCCCTGAAACACATGGAAGGGTTGGAGTGGAAGAGCCACATGGGCAGAAGCCAAGTGCTTAGACATAGGTGGTGTCTGCTAAGGCTTTTTTGCAAGAACCAGAAGGGGGGGAGAGGGTTAAAAGTACTGGCCAAGTCACTGGGGACAGTGACGGTGTTTGTGTTTGTGCCGGTGCCTGTATGCTCCTGCATTCCCTTAACGCAGAGTCCCATGGCATGAGGCTTGCCTTCCTGCTTTATTCTCTGGTCAGCACCTCCAGGCACTCCTGTGCTGCGTACGACTGTTGGGTCGTCGAGCCACCCCTGCCCCTCACCACAAACCAGGCGGTGGCTCCAAGCTTTGGCTCGCGCTGTTCTGACCTGCAGGCCTCTGTGTGAAACAGAGCCCTCGCCTTTTCCTGGCCAGGTGCTGGCAGGCTCCTCCTGGCAGCTTAGAAGCCACACGGTAGGCCAGCGGCTGTTCTGGCTCTGTGTTTTGTAGTCTTTGCTGCAGTACAGGGCCCCTGCTACAGCCTGGCTATTTGGGGGGGGGCATGGTTTCAAAGCAAAGTTTGGTTAAAAAAAAAAAAAGCCAAAAGGATTTGAGCACTTCTGGGTTTTACCAAAAACCTCAGCCCAAGTTACCTGTCAGGCAGCAATATTGCAGATGTGCCAGTTAACGTGCAGATCAAAGGCTTTCCCTGCACTGTGAGGTGACCTTCTTGGCTCTCCTGGTTTTTTTTGAATGAGAGATGGAAATGAGTGCGAATGATGCGTCTGCTCCAGAAGGTCAGCAGCCGGCTCTTGCTTCGGGCCACCTTGCCCTCCTAGTGAGGTTCCTTGCCCAGCGTGTGACATTGGGAACTCACCCCAACTCCTGGCTCGTGCTCGGGGCGAGGGTACCATCTAGATGCCTGAGCACCACCTTGCTGTGTGCCAGACCTGAGGGGCTGCTTCCCGCCCTCATCAGTGCTGCCTCTGTGTTGCAGAAATCTGTCTCCACGTCCTACTTGGGGCCCCCGAAGGGCACCAAGAAATCCCGATCCCCAAAGGTAAACGAGAATAACTATGGGATGGACCTGAACAGCGATGACTCCACAGATGATGAGAATGAACCTCGGAAGCCTGTCCCTGCCTGGGCTGATGGTAGGTGCCAAGTTTGGTTCCTTCAGTTCCTTCCCTGGGAAGCTAGAGCTTTCCAGGTTTGCTTGGTGCAATCTCGGCTTCCCCGAAGCACGGTCCAGGAGACTGTGAGACTTCAGCAGAGCTGGCAGTGGCTGGCTCAGAGTCCAAGGGGGGGCTGGAGCTGCTTTCCTGCAGGTGCCGTTGTGTTGCAGTTAAACCAAAGACCTCCGTGCGTGCGTTTGGATCCAAGGGGGTGAGAGCACGGTGGGGGCTCGCTAGTAATGAGGCGGCCCATCCTCCCAAGGGAAGCTGAGGCACAGTGGTCTTGGGAAATGTCTGGTGTGCCGAGTGATTTAAAACAAGTGCTGCTGGCAACCTGAAGGTGGGTGTGGGGTTCAGAGCTTTGTGAGGAGCAGGAAAGTGGTTGATCACACTTGCTGGACAGGGAGCAGTTTTTCAGGCGTGCCAGAAGACTAACTGTCCTGCGGGCTGTAGAGGATGGGGGGCACCCTAAGGAGAGTGCTGAAAACTTGTTTATACTGAGCCCACTTTTCCGATACGGCTGTTTCCATAGGGTCTCAGCTTAACCAAGCTGTCATACACCAATACTATCACCCAGTGAACGTTGACCAACTCTTTGGGCTGATCCTGAGCCCTAAGCTGGAGGACATCTTTGGCAAGAGCAAGCCGCGATACTTCAAGCGCACAAGCTCAGCGGTTTGGCAGTCCCCGCCTGGGACCGATTCTGCCTGTGGCCCATCGTGCAACTCCAAACACTGAGGAAATGCAGGGACTTGTTTTATGACAATGCAGTGCACGGGTTTGTGTTGGTGTGCAATGGAGTTATGATTTTAAGCCTTTTTTTGTACAAAAATAAAAATATTGAATAAAATCCCCTTGCAGTAATTGTTCTGTCAGTGCTTGTGGCCAGCATGGTGGGACGAGGCTCCCTCGTTTGGGGTGGCTGGCTGTGGCTTCCCCCAGTGACCATGCAGATGCCTGCAGATGTGCTGTTGCACTGTTACATGTTCCCTTGGGGTGTTTGCAGAACGTTACACAGAGAAGTGATGAAACTGCTGTAGGGAAGATCAAATTTTCTTAATCAGTGTGAGGGAGTCATGTCTTCATAACCAATTCTGCCCTGTATTTACGTATTTAACTGCTTCTATCTGCAGGCAGCTTCCCTTCAAGCATCCCTGTGACCTCTTGTTACTGTGAGCCGAATCCTTTCCCGCAGCCAGAAAACCCTGCTGGAACAGTCTAAGCAGTCTCTGAGTGTCTTTGTCGCTGTTCTTCCCTTTCCCAATGGGAAAACAAATCCCAGGCTAAGTTCTTGGTCCTGTCTCTCTGGGCAGCTTCAGCGTGCAGCCTTCCTTGGGCAGCAGGCGGATTTGTTTGGAGGTCGTGGCTTGGAAAGGGTAAGTGATTTCCAAAGGACTGTGGTGGTGTCGCCTGCTGAGCGCTCCCCTGCCCGTGCGTGCTTAGCAGCAGCAGGGGGGTCTCCTGGCCCCTGCAGCGTGCCCTGAGCCCTGGACAGCGGTTGCCTGGGGCACGCTGTGGTGGCCGTGGCGGGTGCCAGGGCCCTGCAGAGCTGCGTGGGGCCAGCTGCATGCTCGTGCTGCCTCGGCTGCATCGCAGCCCCTGGAGGGCTGCTGGTGCAGCCCCGGGAGCGACTGGGCTAACCGTGCCCTGCCGATGGCGGTGGGGGGATCGGGAGAG